AATCCCAGAATGTATGGCATCCTCTCTGCTTTATGATCCAGCTAATAATACATTGCCTCAATCATGTTGATTGAAGTCATTTTTCCCCTTGCAGTTTCTAGTAGTAGATTACCATCTACTGCCTAGGAAGCAAAATTGACTGTATCCATGTAGATCACATAATAAGGCATTTTTCCCATCAATAAAATTTCATTCTTTCAGCATGAGTAATTCTGTCAACAACGTTTTGAGGCAGTAACAGTTTATAACAGTTGTTAAACATTTATCAGCACAACACTGACCACATTGGTGGTGGTGGTCTTGTCAGAATGTGTTATATTATGCAGATGAAAATCTATTTAAACAGATTTGATGTAGGTATTTTCAAAGATGGAAGAATTGTCCCTGTCAACTATGTTGGTTGATTCATATCTTTTTTTAAAAAATATATTTTTTATTGATTTTTTACAGAGAGGAAGGGAGAGAGATAGAGAGTTAGAAGCATCGATGAGAGAGAAACATCAATCAGCTGCCTCCTGCACATCTCCTACTGGGGATGTGCCCGAAACCCAGGTACATGCCCTTGACCGGAATCAAACCTGGGACCTCTCAGTCCGCAGGCTGACGCTCTATCCACTGAGCCAAACCGGTTTCGGCAGTTGATTCATATTGTAACTAATTGTCATCATTACAAACTTTTCTGTCCCCATATGGATTGCTGGATATAATAGGTCATGCGCTATCCCTGCCCTCCTCCCTTTGTAGCCTTTGTTACCTTAAAAACTCTAGTTTTCCATTTATATGTTTAAGTAGCAACCTTACCGACCTAAAAGTGTAAGCTTTTAACAGTGCTCTGTTCCGTATCCTTCCGATGAAAAGTGGAGTTGGGTTGTGGCACAGGAGAGAAATTCAGAAGGGGAATATTGAAGTAATGACTGCAGTAGAAGAAGAGGGAACCTATTTCCCGGGCCACAGGCGCTGGGACCCTGGACCATAGGGTTGGCAACTTCTCCAGGTGGCTGCAGCCTGGGACCTTGGGGCAGGTGGCTTGTCCATCTCCTGGGCCGCAGCCAGCCGCAGGCGCTGGTGCTTGGACTGCAGGTGGGCGGCTTCTCTGTGTCCCCTGTGATGTAGTGTGGGCAGCTTCTCTGGCTGGCTGTAGCCTGGGATTATGGGGCAGGCGGCTTCTTTGTCTCCTAGTCTGTAGCCAGCTTCAGGCGCTGGAGCCCAGCTTCTCAATCTTCTCGAGGACATGGGGCGAGCGGATGTGGGGTAGGCAGCTTTTTTGGCCGGCTGCGGCCTGAGATTATGTGCAGGCGGCTTCTCTGGCCGGCTGAGACCTGGGATCACGGGGCAGGCGGCTTCTCCGGCCTGCTGAGACCTAGGATCACGGGGCAGGTGGCTTCTCCGGCCTGCTGAGACCTGGGATCACAGGGCAGACAGCTTCTCCGGCCGTCTGCGGCCTGAGATCACGGACAGGCAGCTTCTCTGGCCGTCTGTGGCCTGAGATCACGGACAGGCAGCTTTTCGGGCTGGCTGCGGCCTGAGATCACGGGGCAGGCGGCTTCTCCGGCCTGCTGAGACCTGGGATCACAGGGCAGACAGCTTCTCCGGCCGTCTGCGGCCTGAGATCACGGACAGGCAGCTTTTCGGGCTGGCTGCGGCCTGAGATCACGGGCAGGCGGCTTTTCTGGCCTGCTGAGACCTAGGATCATGGGCAGGCAGCTTCTCTGGCTGGCTGCAGACTGGGATCACGGGCAGGTGGCTTTTCTGGCCGGCTGCAGCCTGAGATCACAGGCAGGCGGCTTCTCTGGCCTGCTGAGACCTAGGATCGTGGGCAGGCGGCTTCTCCGGCCTGCTGAGACCTAGGATCACGGGCAGGCGGCTTCTCCGGCCGGCTGCAGACTGGGATCACGGGGTAGGCAGCTTCTTCATCTCCCAGGCCGCAGCCAGCCTCAGGCACTGGAGTGAGACTTCTCTGTCTCCCCTGACTTCTGCGTCTCCAATCGGCCTGGAGAGGCCAGAGCTGGGATGCTTGCATGGTAGCTGTAGCTGCAACGCAAGTATCCTGGCTCTGGCCTCCATCATCATTGTTGGGTTAATGTGCATATCTCTGGATCGGTCGGTGGCCGTGGCTTGGGCGTAGCAAAGGTATGGTCAATTTGCATGTTTGTCTATTATTAGGTAAGATAATTAGTAGTCCAAGATGACATAGCTAGAAAGTGACTAAGTTAAAATCGAACCTAAGTGTACCTGTCTCCAAAAACATGCTCTTTCCACCCTGCTTTTCTATTTCTTACATTTCTCATTGTTGCACAGTGCAGTTCCAGTGTCCTTAAACAAAATCACTTGCCGAGATCAACTCCCAACTCCCAAAGCTAGGACAGTGTTTGGGTATGTGTGTATGTATGTGCGTGTGTGTGTGTATGCATGTGGAGGAGTTTGGAGGAAAGGGAATGGAGAGATAGCCAACCATGAGCTAGTACAGTGATGGTGAACCTTTTGAGCTCAGCGTGTCAGCATTTTGAAAAACCCTAACTTAACGGTGCCGTGTCACATATAGAAATTTTTTGATATTTGCAACCATAGTAAAACAAATACTTATATTTTTGATATTTATTTTATATATTTAAATGCCATTTAATAAAGAAAAATCAACCAAAAAAATGAGTTCGCGTGTCACCTCTGACACACATGTCATAGGTTCGCCATCACTGAGCTAGTAAATTTCCCACAGTTAAATGCAATTAATTTCAGTATTTTATTTCATAGGGAAGCTATTTTTCCATCTTTTCCTAAGCTCGAAATGGTATAAATAACATGTTTCTTTTAGGGTTGATAAGTCACTTTACCCCTTCCCCAACAATTTTTTTGTTAAAAACGTTTCTTTTTCAGACTAATTTTTTTATTTTGGTTCTATATAGTATTTTTGATGCTGGTTATGAAAACAGTTTGTAACTCGTCTTCCTATAAACCATATTTTTTTACCATATTTCCTTAGTATACTCGTCGACGACTGAAAAAAAACATTTTGTGAAAACGTGTATACACGTTTCTGCCAGGGAAGGGGTTAAGACACA